GAGAGAGAGAGAGAGAGAGATGGAGTTGTTCAAGGTAGTCTCCTCAACAGGCTCGCGCGAGTTCACTCCTAGACCTGCAGTGTAGACAAGACAAGGCGTGGACAGACTATCCCACAAGGATGTATGCCAGGAGCGCATGGATCAATTATGGATTGTATGGGGTTCTTGCGTGCTTTAACGAGTGTCAACATTTGGATGCATGATTTAATACGCGGCAAGTAATTTGGAACAGAAACCGGACGATCTAAATGAGTCAACAGTTGGATGTACCTGAGAGGGAACCTCTGGATAAGACCATGACGCTGCTTTGGAATCAGAGAGAACCATCTGTAAAATGACTTGGAACTCCAGAGCGCTGCGATGACTTCTCCACGTTTTCTGTAAACTGGGCGAGGAAATATATCACAGCTGCACAATGGATTTACAAAACTCTAACGGGTCATCTGGATCGGACAAGCAGAAGCCCAGTCTGATAGACTTGGGGACGTTTTTCGTGGACGCTGACACCATTTTTGGATTTACTAGTCATCTGTTAAAGCGAAAAGCCAAGGTAAGCCTTTGAGAACGGACAAAAGACTCCACAAGTTGACTCATTTAGAGCTCAGCAGACTCCACGTGGGTTGTTTCGCTTAAAATATTGTGGTATTTAAAGGCTATGCTATTTTTGGGTTCGCAAATATGAATCCTAAGTTTTCGTTGGTTATGATGTGTAGCGGTTTGTTCATTTCAGCACCACGAACAGCTCTCATCCATCAGTTGCGCTTTTAGCAACTTCCCTAAAAACATACAAAATACATTTCATTACAATGCAGTAAGTATATCAGATAAAGCCCTTCATTTTGAACAAATGTTTTTTGTTCATCCGATAGTGAACTTTAGTGCTTGATTAAAAGTTTCTCAGCGATCATATGCTTTTAGTAATTTAACTCAGTAATAAAAATGTACTACATCTAGGTTGAAGTTTTCCGTTTAAATCATGCAAATAAGAAACACTTAAAGCCAAAAAACAACATCAGTCTGATGTGTTAATAAACCACTAATAAGGGCCACAAAAACAGACAATAATGTTCAAATAAAGGTTTATTAGAGATTAAGTTATAAGTCTACAGGCTACAAATATTATAGATGGTCACAAAAGCTACCAGCAACTATTGTAGTTTTCTTCGCCCACGTCAAACGGTCCGTTATTTATGGTTTATTGGACCACTTGCGCTGTCACATACAAAGGACTGATTGAGTTTTTTTTTTGAGGCGGGAGATTGACAGTATTTGGGTGGCAATTTAATGTCACGTGATCCCAGCATATACATCATCAACATAAAATATTTAGAGATCAGTAATTAAATATTCAAACATTCTCACAATTTATTGCAAACCGAGAGGTTTGTAAGATGCAGTTGAGTTAAATACCAGAGGGTGGCGCCAGAGTAATAAGCAAAAGACTACAACAGACCCGCAATCTCAGTCAACACAAGTGAACTGTAACATAAAAGATGACGTAATTTATGTTTGAAGCTATTTTTTATTTATATATATTTTTTCAGACATACAACTTGGAAAGATGAGTGCACAGGCTGTTGCTTACAATAATACCAATAATATATATATATATATATATATATATATATATAATTATGAACCAGACATGCAGTCGTGATTTTAAGCAAAAGTTACTCAGTTCTTTAACGCACACCTCTTATTACAAACACAGAATTAATTAAACTGTGAATTGAAATCAATATTATTTTCACTTTTTGTTTGTGCAAACGCAGTCTAAACTCTCTGAAACAGTGTTTGAATAACTACTGAGCGCTCAGCTCCACCCCTCCAACCAAGTGACCGAGCCGCGCTCATTGACAGCAGTTTAACTTCACTCCCGCGTACGCGCGTCGTCATGGAACTAAAGCAAAGCAAAACTTCACGGGAATTGAGTTGTGCTTTTTCCTTTGCGCTCCCACTGACTATCCATGAACTGTGTTCCTAATCAATGAGTGTAGACAAACAGAGACGCAATAAAGTGCACTAGATGTCCGCGTTTTGATCAGTTATACCGAGATGATGGATTTAACACAGGGGAATGCGCAAGGAGAGTTCCAGATCAGCCGGTCAACTGTAAGTCCTCTAATAAACAGCTGATGCTGAGAAGTTAGAGTATTCTATTTGAATTCCAAAGCTTGCTGTTTGTGCATTGTTGTTGAGTAATTTGCAACACGTTTAGAAAGTTTAATCACACTTTTATGTGTGTAAAATAGTAAAGCTACATAATTTGTTATTATAATATAATAAACAATTAGTAATATGCAATTAACTGTAATCTGGATGTTCTACATTTATAATGAGCTATTTTTGACAGATGTTAAATATATGGAGTCTTTCTGTATCTTGACGTTGTTGTCTTTCATAAAGGTGGAAGGCTGTTCGAGCGGAGAGTCTTCTCTCTCACTTGAGCTGAGCCCGAGGAAGAGACTGTCAGCGGAGGAGGAACGGTGTGCCAGCAGACCCCCACCTGAAGGCGCAGGAGCCGTGAGCCTCTCTGAATCCGACAGGGAAGAGACTAAGCCAGATCTGTGCAAGCAATGTCAGATGACTATAGCTGAACTGAGGAGACAAGTTCTCGTTCTGTCCGACCCTGCTTCATTTAAGGTCAGTGAGTGAGAAACATTATTTCAGTACCTTTGCAAAGCAAACAAACACATCCAAGACAGGGAAGTTCAGTTGCTTTGCTATTTATAGCATTTTTAGCACTAATAATGTTATCTTTCAAGGAACTGTTTTGATTCATGCAACATTGCATGACTAAGAATCTTTTGTTAGTTTGAAGCAGCACTTGACTTTCACTTGAGCCTCAGAGCTCTGGAAGTCTGCCTTGTTTAATTCTGTCACTCGGCTCTTTTCAAAGCATCGTGAAAGCCTTACATAAATCAGATGCATTGAATGCCTCTTAAAGGCCATTTTGTGTAAAATCTCACGATCTGATGAAAAGCTGACACAAATAAGCCCTGTCTTTGTAGTTTTATGACTCCCTTATCAGAAAACCGATATCCTATTCAGGCTCCTATTTACAAAGTTCACCAAGTCATCAAAAGGTTAATCTTTTTACTATACCAGCACAGAGAGCAAATATTTCAATGACCTCTTTTGCAAACTATAGGATTTGTTGCACTTTAGAACGATCAGTAATGCATTGAAATCATATTCAGTCTGAAATACATATAGGCTTGGATAAAATTGAGATCAACACAAAATGCTGTTTGAAATGCTCATTGCTGGATGTTTGGTTTATGGTCAAAACAGTGATGAAACCTCATCAAGCCTTGAGTGGGATGGTTGGAGTGAGATGTGAGAAGCTCAGCTGTGTGGCACAACGTGTCCCCATGCTTGCCAATGCAGAAAGTGGATGGGCATGATGTACAGAGAGCAATCTGGATGAAAAATGAACTATTAAAGTACCACTAAATTTACTGAAACAAAGCCTTATCCGAAATGGAAATTCATATGGAATTCTTATTAACTTGAGGTTACATTTCTATTGTAGTTAATGCTGTTTAAGCAATATCACATGAGCAAGAGTTGATGTTGATCTCACTCATAAATAGAGTCAGTTAATTAGTTAATTAACTGACTCTAACTGAGTTAGTTAATTTCGAATTAATTGAGTGAATGATTCAATGACTCACTTATAAAAACAGCCATTTTTAGATAGATAGATAGATAGATAGATAGACAGATAGATGCCAGTATTGAAAAGTCTGGCTTTTCTACTTGAATCTCACAAAAATCTCACAAAAAATTGAAACCGTCCAGATCACCAACCTTGCGTTTTGTTTTGATGAATGCTGGTAAACTGAAGCTACACAACCACTCGTCATTGTTTGTTTGGAGTGTTCACAGTCTATCTGCTCATTCCTAAAGCCAAGAAATGTCTGTTTTTTCTTACAACCTTCCGTTTCTAGAGTTTTCAACAGCTTTTCTTACTTTCACATATTGTATTCACACAGTATGCGCGAGTGCCAGTCTCCGAGAGTCTGTGGACAGGGGAGGGGGCTATTGGAAGTGGCCCATTGTTTTGGGAAACAATGCTTATCTCCCCCCTTGTCCGTCGACATTGGGGGGAGAAAACAGTCGAGCGGACTCGCTGCACAGTCTGTGGAGGAAGTGCAGACCCAGTTGACCTTCATCATGTATTCAAAGTGTTCCTGTATACTCCTCATCAAATTCCCACCACAGTTAAATATAGGCTGTCGACTTTTTATTGTTGTCTGACTTGCTGCTTGGGTTAGCCTCAGGTTTTCCCCCTCCCTTTGCTTTCTTTTGTGGTTGTGTTTCAAAAGAGATCTCATGCTTAGGTAGGATTACAAGCCCTCCGGTTTGCTTTGAACCCCCCCTCAAGTTCTCTTCTCTCCAGGTTACCTCAGGGAATAAAGAGAGGGTTTTTGTGTGGGTGTGCATCGATGTTGCAGGATGCGTATGACCTCGTCCCACCCCATGATGTGTTATTTGGTTAGTGCTTCCAGAGCTTGCTAATATACTCACTCGTTCTCATCAGCAGTGGTTATCTGAAATCATCACAAGTTTGGCTGCCCCGTTTCACTCTCTGGCAGTTTGCCCTGTGTGGTCCGCTCCAGGTGTGGGGGATAAAGCCATGGGGTCAAGCCGGAGAGGTTACGCCTCTATCGGCCCCACTGCTGATGGCTTAATGAGACTCTGGAAGCATTGGCCATGGGAGTCCTACTTTCCCTGCAGTTGGGAAAAGAAAGGATGCTTTGTCCAGCCGGAGATGTGTGGTGGATACCTGACCTGAACTTAGAGACTCAAGCGATATGGTTCTAGATGAGAAGCTATAGAGGGTTACTGTCTATCGGCTTCTACCAAAGTGTGGGTGGCCTGTAGGCTTAAATTGGTTGAATTTTCATTATTCTTGATTTTCAAATGTGATTCACACCTGCTTCCCACTCACATGTTCATTATGAAAATTGCTCTCAGTTTGCTGGTAAAGTCTGGGAACCACAGCACTCAATACGTTTCAGATATCAGGCTGCCCTAATGACCCAGCTGCACTTCACTGGTTCATACTAGAGCTCATTTATCCTCGGCCAGCTTGTGTTGGCAAGGAGCACTGGCCTCTTAGTCAATTATTTTTGTGTAATTG